AAACTGTAATATTGTGAAATATTTTTACAATGCCTCAGCTTCTATAATTTGTCACTCACTAATCAAAATTACTGAAAATATTATGTTACAACCGATTAGTGTTACAAGAATTGTGTCTATACTATATCCAAATATGGCACAAGTGTATATTATTATTATTATTATAATTATTATTATTAGTAGTAGTAGTAGTAGTAGTAGTAGTATACGTCACAACTGTACATTAATATTATTTTTACTTTTTTGTTCTTTCTCTCCTTATCATATATTGAAAGGCTGTGGAAAATGTTTACATTCTATGTCTTTGGTTTGGGTATATTCCTTTTTCTTGTTGTTGGTGTTGTTTGTTAATTTTTCTGTACTTTGTCATGTCTACTGTCATTTTTCAATTTGTCACATTCTCAATTAAAAAAAAACAGATACATTTTTTATTATTATGTATATTTAAAAGTGTAATTTATTCCTGTGATTGCACAGCTGAATTTTTTTTTTCAGTTGATCATTGATCATTAAAAAAAAAAATTGTATATTATTTGATAATAGTGGATTGTAAAATATATTATTACAGACAATGAAGAGAGATATTAGGTATTTTAGTAGACATGATTTTCATAAACGTTCATTTCAGACATGCCTTATACCTTCGGATGATGCATTTCTGGGGTCTTGGTTGAATAGTTCACCCACTGTCATCATTTACTCACCATCATTTTAAACTCGTATGACTTTATTCTGTGGACAGAAATCTGTGTTGTTAGTCTTCAATTTTTGATAAATTTTTTTCTGAAGAGAAAGAGTGACATTTTTTAAATATGTGCACTTACAGACAGTATGACAGCTGATTTAGTGTATAGTTGACAAGAAAGCTAAAAGACATGGACTAAAAGCCACAAAATGTATTTAAAAATGGGATCTTTAATGAAGCAGAGACTGAGATTTTTCAGTGTGTGCAGGTGAAACAGAGAACAGTGGAAAATAATGTAGGAAAATATGACAGAGAAATTAATGTTGGAAAATGAAGGGAAAATCTATAGACATGAGAGTGTATAAATTGTGCAAATCCAGCATGAGTCATGAAACGTCACCTTATATGTGTGCGTGTTTGTTGCTTTTATGACATGGACAACTCATTTCAACTCTTCCGTTCAATCTCTCTCTCCTACTCAATCGGAGTCACCATTTTAAACCTGCTAAAGTCTCTCTCTCTTTCTCTGACTCATTTCTCTCTTTCACCTCCTGCCTCACTGACACTCTAGGTTTCAATTCTGCTCCTCCATCCCGTCTTTTAAGGGTCTGAGTCACCAGTCTTTCTATTCAACATCTCCTAACTCACTCCATCTTCCTCCTCTTCCTCCATCGATCATGTATCTTTCTTTTCAGCCTTGTTTCACAATGGAAACATCAATCTAACGACCTGTTCACCACCAAAACATCTCTCAGTGGTCGTTTTGAACCTCGTAAAGTCTTGGCTGGAGCTATAAAGGAATAGACCATCCAAAAATGAAAGTTCTGTCATCATTTACCCTCATGTTCCAAACTTGTATGACTTTCTTCTTTATTACACACAAAAAAGTTTAGCAGTAAATATTTTTTTGTGTTTTCTATGCAATAAATTTACTTGCCTAACATTCTTTTAGTTATAGAAGAATGACAATCATCATCATTGACAATCAACAGGTTTGAAACAATATGTTGGTGAGAAAATAATGACAAAATGTTCATTTTTGGGTGAACTATCCGTAACTATACGTAGCGTACTATAAGTAGAAAGAAGCAGCTCGATCATCAATATGGTCATATGGATTTTAATGAATGAAATGAATTCTTTATTTGATTGCTGTTAGCTTGGCAAACTGGTATTTCAACCCTGTAAACCCCGACATTTGAAATAATCCATTTTTTTTTTTTTTAATGGAACTGTTTATTAAACCTTTAGATAAATATATGGAGCTCAGACTCAACGAATGAAAAACAACCCCGTTTTATTGAAAGGCCCAAACAAGGCAAAATAAGTAATTTGGTGCAGTTGCTTATGTTTATATGGCCAAAAAGTAAGATTAAATTCTGTTAGCTTGTAATGTAAGTCAATGAAATCTCTATAACATATAATATGTAGCTGACTGCTTATATAAAATGCCTAAAAATATCAGTTGTCACTAACATGCAAAACAGTGATGATATACTAAAAGGCCTTTTCCTTGCTTTTCTTTCCTTTTCCTTATTAAGTATTATTATTATTTAGAGGCCTTAGAAATGTGTCCATCAATATGATACAGTAATTTTTATAGGAGTAAAGCCCTAACATACATTTTAAATTGCGTACATTAGAAGTAGGTAAGCTAACAGTAAGTAAGCTGATAAAAAAGATGATGGAAGTCATAAATAAAAGCTAACAGAGAGATACATTGACATTAATGTTAATGCATTGCATTAAATGCAAGGTTTTCATTAAAAATACAACCAAGTCATTGGAAATCTATATCTGTCAAATACTTAAATATAACCAAGGCTTTATAGAATCTTCAAAAACAAGGTTAAAAATACTTGATGGTGCACGGGAAAAAAATCTCCAAAGTGATGTTTTATAGAGGCTGTGTAGCTGAGTTGAGCCTGTGGTTTATCTGCGAGTGGATGTTCATCTTATTAGCAAGTCATTTGTGCAGTCGATATATAAAGCACATGGTTTCATCTGGAGTTTGTGCATTGGTCTGTGTGTGTTCAGTGGTGATTTCTATCCCAGGCACTACTGAACAACTTGATTCCTGAACATGTGGGTTGAACGCCCATGTTTGTCAACACAATTTAACTAAGTGCAATTAAGAGCCAATCAAGCATGCAGAACAATTATACCTATGACCGATCGTCCTCAAAACACAAACTCTCACTCACACACATATTTAATGTAGGGGTTTATTCTAGAACGTTCTGTCTTTTTCCTTCAGTGTGCAGCATGAACTTTTGATTGGGTGATTGGGTGAGCAGCAGCGGGACAGAAGGGCAAATAAAAGTGCATGTTTGACCGTTTGATTGCTCTGTTGTGTTTAATGGCCTTGGGATCCTGTGTTTAAAGCGAGTTCATGTGTTCCTGTGTTCATGCATAAAATGACCCTGCTACCTGACAGATATCACTGAAATATATTAGATAGTCCTGAGAAATCACACCTGTCTCTTTGACAGAAAACAAAAAAAATCTGAGCAAATCCGAGCCCACGCATGATACTGAAAAAAACCTGGAGGCGCCTCTCTGCCTGTCAATCCTTTTGCTGTCTCTGGACAGTGATGCTTTGGAGAGAGTTTGTACGGTTGAAAGGAAGTTAGTATTGTAAAATTTGTATACACCGCCAGGCTTTTAGCCCGGGAGTGCTTGGATTGAAAACAAGGATCATAATACATTTACATTTATGCATTTGGCAGGCATTTATTTTAATATAATTTCATGTAAAGGCTTTTTTACTGTTTGATGGATGCGAGACTGCAAGCTTGTTTGTTCTCACCTAGACTATAGCTGTGCATTTATATTTGTGGTTTAGGTGTAGGCCTGTAATAACCCTTGTGGGTTGTAATATATTAGGGATGTAACGATATCAAAATGTCACGATGCGATAATATCGCGATATGAAATTCACGATACGATATGTATTGCGGTATTTAAAAAAAAAAGACAAATGAAGAATTGGGGAAAAAATTAACATTTTGTACATTTTTAAGTTAAATTATTCTATCTAATGCACTTTGAGAGTTCAAAATTAAGAGCTGCAACCCATATTCTTAACTAAGAAACTTAAGTCAGAAAAAAGTCAGCAATTTTTTTTTATTACAAAACACTTTTCTATGTGAATATATTTTAAAATTAAATTAATTTGTGAGGTGGCAAAGCAGAATTTTCAGCAGTCATTACTCCAGTCTTCAGTGTCACATGATCCCTCAGAAATCATTTTAAAGGGGTCATGCTCAAGAAGCATTTATTATTCTCAATGTTGAGAACAGTTTATTATTGTGGAAACTGTCATACATTTTTATTTTATGATTCTTTGATGAATAGAAAGTATATACACTATACAGGTGGATATTTATATAAACCACTTCTGCATGTGGTCTGAATGATACTGGATGAGTTTGACCTTGTATCTGTCATGAAAGCATTTTCCTGCTTTGTTATTACCTGTATTTTACTGTCTTTTGAAGTGATCGGACACAGCTGTGTGTGCACACGTTTAGATAAGAGGAGAGACAAATGGCATCCCACATAGCAAACGATCTTGGCCCGAATGTGGCCTCAAGCTGGCACTGCTGGCCTCCTGTCGGCAATGGCATGTACCCTTTCAGCCAGAGCTGGGCCATGTGTGGCAATGATGACACAGTGTGGATCACGGCAAACAATATGAGGGCCGACTGTTGGTGGGAGGAGTGTGGCCCAGATCAATCCAGATCTACACACACATACCAAACTGGGTTTGAGTTTTTTTAGAGCTTTTAAACTTCATGCATAGTCCTTCAGAGAGTTTTTACTTGGGTCGCTATGCTGTCTATCGGTTTTAATCCAGCTTTTAGTGCTGTATGGAAAGTGTTGAAAGTACAACCTTGAAGCATCAAAGTTTCATTGTAAATGACTGTCCTCTTTTCCTTAACTCTCTGATGTCATCAGTCTGGGACGGCCAGGAGTGGACTGTCATTGCCAGCATGAGAGTGGGGCGGCAGTTCTCCAACTGCAGTTTCTCATCAACGAGGTACCGAACACCCACACTTGCAGGCACACATATATTACAGCACATTTTCATGTGTGCAGCATATGTAGAAAGCACGTAGGAGGGCAGAGTGCATATGTGTGTGTTTTAATCTATAATTTAGGATAGACAGCATGTGTGTGTAAATGCATGCTCGGCTCTACAGAGGAATACGTTTAGGTCAAGAGCCGCCTTCCCTCTCAGCCCTGTGGTGTTAATGCAGTCAGTCATTACTTCCCATCAGACGTGTCAAGTGCTGAATGTTTCTCAGCCTCTCTGTCTCGCTCTTATGCACACATGCTGCATCATCTCATGAATAACGAGAAGTTAGTGTGTTAACAAAAGAGGGAAAGTGGGAGAGTTGCCATGGTGGCCATTTTGGATTATAGCAATTTAGGTACACTCTCCACTATCGCCATCTTTTTCTGTCTCCTTTCTATAAGCCCATATAAACACATCTGAAGTCAAAAGAAAATGGCATTTGCGAGCCATTTTACTTTTGTAATGGGATGTTTTTCAGAGTGAAGGAGTATATTCAAAGAGAAAACATTTAGGGCAGGTTTTTCATCCGCTGGGAATTCATCGGTTGGTGAAAAGTGGAGCCAGACCTGAATCTGAGTTTGCAGTCAGTTGTGGAGATGATGGAATCTTTGCCTCAGGAATCAGGCCACATTTTGATTAAAAATGACAAAGACAAACATTTGTTTTTTCTTCGGAATATCATGCTCTGATTAATTGTTCACAATAAGATGCAGATGTTATACCAGACACTGAAAATCATCTCATTTAGTGAGACATGAGCCTGTAGGAATTGATTGGACAAATATTGTGCGCACACACTCTTGACATTTTATCCTGAGGTACATTATTTAGATATTACACTTCAGGGATTCAGTCTTCATTCATATTGATTTTATTAACAACACTAAATTAGTGCTGTAAATAACATTCGTCATCACAAGGGATGCTACCTCACTAACCAAATGGTTACATTTGTACAATATATCCCACACCACTTATAGTGGATTACAACTAGGCCTGGGCGATAAAACGGTATCGATATTTATCGACGTTAGCCTACACCTTCATCGATAACGATATAAAAAATGTTCAATATAGCGCACGATATAGGCACGTGCTATGAGTGATGCAGACAGACATGAACATGCTGAATTGAGTGCTGTGCCTGCCTGTGATGAGGAGATTGTGAATAATAAAAAAAGAATATTAGTCGAATTTAAAATAAACATTTGCATTTAATCCGTGTATCATTCGATCATTCATTTTTTGATTTAATACTGAAAGTAGAAAAATGAGAAAACGGCTCCTTTTGTACATTTCATCTTTTTTCATCAAATAAACAGGCTAATGAATAGCTTGACACAACTCATATACCGGGGCAGAGTCTAGACAGGGCTTTCTTCTGTGTAGATATAAATTCTATTCTTTGCATCAGCTGGCATGGCAGGGTATGATATGACAGCTGTCATAGCCTACCCTGCTCACCCAGTAAGTCTGTTTGTTTAATTAATTAATTAATTAATGTTTCAAAATAAATATTTTAAACACTTCGGCTGACCAATCAGCAGAAAGGAGCGTTTCAAGCTGTTTTTTCAGTTTTCCACCCATGAACAAAAAACGAAAATTTAAGCTGAATTCTCGTTTTTCGGAAAAAAAACGAGAAAGGAGCCGTTTTCTAATTTTTCTACTTTCAATATTAAATCAAAAAACGAATGATACACGGATTGCATTTGAATGCAAAATGGTACAATCTAATGTTAGGAGTGCGTCAGGGAGCGTCATCAGTGGCGCGCGAGATGCGGTGATGATGATGTAAGCGAGGTTACATTTTAATGTTTATAGCCCACGAGACGCGCCGCTGCTGTGTTATTCGTTCAAAATATTAGAGAAATATAGTAACTCAATGCGTAGAAGATCTTGATTAGGTTAAAACCGAAACCAAGCCATTCACACAGAACGCATATTCAGCACATTTTTAGACGGACAGATATGAATGCTGCACTCGCGTCTCATGCAAGAGATGCAAAGAAAGTCATGCAAAGTTAAAACAGTTTTAACGTTTAGAAAACGCGATGCAAATTTGTGAAGGTTTATTTCATTTTACGGCGTCTCATATGTTTTTAAATGCAATCTGTATGATCGGCGATTTGGCTCTTTGTATTAGGCTGAGCAATGCATAAACACATGATACTGTTTTGTTCATAATTGTTTATGCAGTTTACAAAATTATATTTGATTTATATATGTTAATTTAGACGTTATGCACGTTTTTATAGACAGTTATTTGAATTGACAATTAATGCGCTGCATTATTTTGCTAATTGCGCCCTCCTGTGGCCTCGGGAAACAAGTCAAATTTTGGATGAACTATCCCTTTAAGACTTATTTAATCTGCATATAAAACATAAGAAAGGAGATATTTGTTTAAATTTCATTTTGTGTTTGACTGTAAAAAATAAATAAATAAATAAATAAATATATATATGTTTGTAAAGTGGGCAAATTAAAAATACAGTGGTTAAAATTAAACATTTTTTTCTATTGCTCCGTTTTAAAAAAGGTTATAAAAAATGTCAATAATTATCGATACCGAACGATATGAAACCTATATCGTTGATATATTTTTTAGCTATATCGCCCAGCCCTAATTACAACACTAATTACTAATTTCATTAGTGTTCTACTGTAATTTAATTTCCATAATATTCCTCTGCATAAAGTGAACATAAAATCAAAATAACTTTTATTTTTTTATTTTTTTAAATGCACGTCCTTGGTCTAATTGTGAATGTGATTCATCATTGCATGTTAATTCAAAGGAAAAATTTGATTGTTTTGTAACTGTATCTTCTTCTGAAACAAATTCCCTTTCCTGCTGACATCACTTAGGCCATGCAGACTAGGACAATAGCCAATAGCCAAAATAGCAAACTCTCATCTGTTATTTTTAGTATTGTTTATATACTATTATAGTATTTATTCATATTTATTAATCTTCTATGTTTTAGTCATTTTGCTGTCATTTTTAAATAATTTTTTAATATGCACATTTAGCTTTATTTCATTTGTTATAGCTTTAGAAATTTTAGTACTTCCTCTTCAATTTATTTTATTTCATCCCATATTTATATGTATACAGTATATTATTATTATTATATTTTTTAATTGGTTCCATTTTTGTGTGCAACACTCACTTTTACCATCTAACCAAATCCTGAAGTGCACAATTTATTTTCTTTTTGAAAATCCCATTTCACTTGGAAAATATCATGTTACGGAATTATAATGGGTCGCAAATGTGAATTCACATTGACTTTGACACAACACTAAAATTCCCTCTCGACATCTGTTTTTCTCTGCTTTTGTCCTTTGGCGTGTTGGTGCAATCTGTGTTTACCTAAACACCATCTCCATGGAAACACAGTTGTCAGTCACCTGACTGATGGATCTGGATTCAATGCACTGAGAAAGAACAAAGATGGAGACAAACTCTCAAAGTCATGAAGATAAAGTGTTTAGAGACTTCCTGCTGGCCCATGATCACCCTCAAATTAGGCAGTGATTTGACAAAGCGAGTTCACATTAATACTGAAATGTTCCCATCCCCGACATGAAATGCCACTCATTTTTCCAGGTTTGTCATGTATTATTTGCTGCCTGAACATTGCAGCCAGCATTTGAAAAGAAAATTAGATATATTGGCTTCAAAATTATAAAGGGCTTCCAGATAAAATGGGTCAGAAAGACCTTTGTCATCCTGACATTGTCAGATTTTTCACACTCACACTCTTAGACACTTTCATCACTTTTTGCTCTCTTCCCTCTTTCTGTCCTCCATTAACCATCAACACCATCCTGAGTCTTGTAATACATAGAGCACAGCATTACTTGTGGCAAGTAATTCTTTCTCTTCAGACTGTTCCAGTCTCTATCCAAGGAGGACTTTAATATCATGAAATATGCATGAAATGCATGAGAAAACAGCAAAGTTATACAGACTGAAACATATCGATGTGACAGAATAAATTAAGGTTTATCATTTCCTAGCAACTATATGAGTAAATTCTTATTTCATTTGTGACCTGGAAGATGCATTATATACTGCATAATTTTCCCCATCATAGAATTTTAGGACATTGAAGTGGAAACGGAAACACACTTTAGACATACAATACAACTCCATGTGTGCTATTAGGTTCAATATTATATAAAATGCATGTTTTTAGGTCACAAATAGAAAACTGACTTATTTAATATAATATTTTGTCACATGAAAAAAGCACAATGGCTGATGCCACGGACACCTAAAAAAAAAAGTGTGTCTAAAGTGTCATACATTTAATGTAACTTTCTTTGATTGTTAAAATTGGTGTAAACTTACCATCTCATTGCATGGATTGAGTGTTGTTGTTACACTTATGTGTTCATAGGGGGCTCTGGTCACAGCTTGTGCGGACGATACGCTGCATCTCTGGAATTTGCGACAGCGACGTCCGGCTATCCTACACTCTCTCAAATTCAACAGAGAGCGGTGAGTAGAGCTTATATACAGTACACAATTGTGTTTTTCAGAAATGCACAGGCATGTGCACGGAGCACACATAATATATCAAGTCAAAAATGAACTTCCCAAGGATTTCATAAAAAAGAAGATTTTTCATTATTTAATTTTACATTGAAAGTGAGAATCCATCTCAATATTTCAACTTGAAGTTGCTGACTGTCCAAGGCTGCAGAGCATTGGTCAGAATGAATATGTGATAAAGTAAACACAGATAGCTCAAGGCTGCAGAGGCTGAAGTCAAGCCTCAATATTGTAAAATGTTGTAGCTCCTGTCTTCTCTCTTCTGGTTTATTTCTGAGCAAGAAGTGAGGATTTTCTTCTCAAAAATGCAGTGGGCACAATACAGTATGTATAAAAAAAAAAAAAATCCATCATAAAAAATATAGCATTAACCTTACTATGCTACCCTACATTACACATTTTCATACCTTTAGGTATCTTAAAGACCACATAAAAAATAAAAAAAAAACATGTTTTTTTTAATACATGTATGATATAATTTTCTATAAAATAAGCACTTAAAATGTTTCCATATGTAGGTGTTTGTTGGAGCAGTTTGTAACAGCCTTAAAGGGATAGTTGATAGTCGTTAATTACTCACCCTCATGTCGTTCCAAACCCGTAAGATCTTTGTTCATCTTCGGAACACAAATTAAGATATATTTGGATGAAATCCGAGAGCTTTCTGAACCCTGCATAGACAGCAATGTAACTGACATGCTCAAGGCCCAGAAAGGTAATAAGGACATCGATAAAATAGTTCATGTGATATCAGTGGTTCAACCGTAATGTTATAAAGTTGCGAGAATAATTTTTGTGCACAAAGAAAACAAACATAATGACTTCATTCAACAATTTCTTCCAATTTCCATGTCAGTCTTTACTGTGCGTTCACGAGAGTACCATGGTGCATGTGTGTGAATTATTCTGCTTGCAAACAAGCCGCATCCAGGTTCTACATCAGAACACTGGCTCCTGCGTCAGCAACACCACATGTGTCATGGTACTCTCGTGGTAGTTGCATTTGTGTCTATGGGAGGGTCAGAAAGCTCTCGGATTTCATCCAAAATGTTCCGAAGATGAACGAAGCTCTTAGGGGTTTGGAACGACGAGTGTGAGTAATTAATGAAAGAATTTTTATTTTGGGGTGAACAATCCCTTTAAAGGTAGCAACCTATTTTAGTTGGAAATATGTTGACATTGAAATGGAAATTTGATTTGTTAAACATTTAATGAGATCTTTAACTACTGAGCATAACTCAGTAGTTTAAGCCCTTATTTAATTTTCTTATGACGACTCTTCCCCAGCTTCTCAAACTGTGCACTATTCACGTAATGGAAACTGACCCACTAGGTATGACTAATGTGGCTTTTGTTACTCTATTTCCCTTGTTGAATGACTCGGGGTCAGCTCTAATAAATGTCGCTCTCATTCAGAGCTGTGAAATGTGACAGTTGCGTTATGGTTAATGGCCTCTTGGAGTTGTTTAGAAGTATAGAAACATTTCAGGAAGTTTTAACAGAGAAACTGTACAAACAGAGAGACCTTGAGCGAGTTGAAGAGAAAGTCATGAAGAGTCTTTCTTTCTTTCTTTTTTATTTTGTTGATTCCTTCACCACCTAATCACTTGACGTGTAAGAGGACCTTGTCCAAATGTGGCTTCTTATCACTGCATTGATTGCTGTGGAACAGGAAAGAAAGAATAAAAGAAGGAAATGTTTTTGTGATATTTGATCCAGAGAGAAAGTTAACCGATTTACCCTCAACAAATGCATTTGATACCAGATTGATGATGAATACTCATAATGATACTTTAGCATTCTAGCAGCACAATCATTTGTTGTTTCGTGAACATGTCACAATGCAGTGAGGCTATGTTGGATCCGACAACAAACCTGCAGCTTGTGTGAGAGCGCAGGACAGAGCTGTTAATATTTCATATACAATGAGGGTGTTTATATTGAAGTTTTTGCTAAACATTGTTTACATGCAACCAAATGAGCCATTAGTAATCGGATTGATGGCTCAATCAGACTGAAAAGCCTTCATGTAAACACCTCATTTGATTTGATTGAGTTTGATTCAAATGAAATTTTGATCCGATTCATTGGATCAAAATCTAACCAAATCCATAAATTTCAATTGTTAGTGTATATTTGACCATTGTTGTTTTTTGACACATTTTTCACACTGTGAAGTCTTTATGATCCATTATAATACTCAGAAACCACATGGGACACAAGCATTAGATCGGCATCAAACTGAGAAGCCTGATTAATGAGTGTCATAGAGCATATTGTGCAACAGAACTTAAAATATAACATTAACATTGTTGTTAAAGTTTTGGTTCATATTCATCCGAAGCCTGAAAGCTTTGGGATAGCAGTATGAGGTGGTGTGTGATAGAGATTTTTCTACGCTCTGTGTTTTCTTGGTATGGCTAATGAGCTTTGTTCCCCTCCGTAATAACTGATGATTGTGTTCATCACCTCATCAGACCGTCTGGAACAAACAAATAAAGTCATGGTTTCTCCCACCGTGACAGTTTCACACTCATTGACAAGGAGTTCTTCTATCTTATGTGTATGCTTTGACCCTGAAGTGTTTTATATTTTTGGCTTTATTAAAATTATGCAAATTCACATGTAATGAGAAATGTTTTCTCAGATCAGTAGGTGCCTGTCTGAGTGTGTGTGTGAACACGGTTGGGTGCATACTTTCGTGCGCGGCTGTGTCAGATGACAGAGATTTTCAGCTCAGCAGGGTCAGGAGAGAGACTCAGGGGGGCTATAAGACTGATTCAAGACACTCAGCATGCTTGTCTGTCGCAAAAATACAAGACGCTTTCATCGCACAACAGAATTGTGTAGTCCTATGACGTTCTGTTTTAGCTGATCAATTCATCTGACATTTGTATTCAAGGCATGCTTAGCCCAAAATATACAGAACAAAACTCTGTGCAAGTTTGGAGTCATTCAGTGGTGCCTTTTGAAATACGTCTTAAATGTTGACAAAATGTACTTTTAGCAGATGTATAGTGCTATTCAAAATTTGGGGGTCTTTAAGATTTTATTTTTTAAAGGGGTCATATGACGTTGCTAAAAAAGAACATTATTTTGTGTATTTGGTGTAATGAAATGTGTTTATGCGGTTTAAAGTAAAAAAAACCACATTATTTTCCACATACTGTACATTATTGTTTCTCCTCTATGCCCCGCCTTTCTGAAACGCGTCAATTTTTACAAAGCTCATTGTTCTGAAAAGCGAGGTGTGCGCTGATTGGCCAGCTATCCAGTGCGTTGTGATTGGCCGAATACGACATGGTGGCGGCGGCAACAATACTACAGGCGAGAATCAAAGTTACGCCTTCTTTCTTTGCGTGAACATTTGGGCGGTGTTATGCA